ATATCTTTTTAACATTTCAATGATTTCATCCCATATTCCCGCTAACTCCAGTCTCTTGACATTTGCATTGAAGTCGTTTATGTCTTTCTGAAGCTTAAAGGCATCATAATAACCTACCTTGCGCACTTCACATTTGGTCTGGTACGCTTGTATCTCGTTTAGTCCTTTTCGTATGCTATCCCTGTTGGAATCAATATTGACTTGGTTTTGTATTTTCTGCCTCTCCAACTCCCCAGCAGCACGAAGACACAACCTTGCTCTTGAACTCTAGAATTTGAAGAAGCACGTGAAATTTAGCTCAAAATAAGTAATCCAGGTTACACGAAATTGTAAGATGAGCTGAATGCTGAAGAAAGTATTCCTTACCAGGCCGAGATCGTTCAAAACAGTGTTCAATTTTGCTGCTTCATTATTTGTGTTGGCATGTGAAGACAAAGGAAGTTCCACAAGATTGTTCAAATGAGCAACATTTTGCATTTCTAAGCAATCCTGTAAATGATTTTCGTAGCTCAAATTGTCGTTTAAGCTTCTATAAACAACGTGCGCAATTTCCGTTTCAGAGCTTAGCTGAGCCGAATAAAACAGCAGCTGCAGGATTGCATCTGGATTCTGAAGGATAACTGATTTTCCATTTGCAGTGCAGAAGATATAGGTGCCAAAAGGTCTATATGGACTGAGTTCAATAAAGCTGGACACAGTTTCCAACAACAAATTTGTGCATCCCATGAGGTGACAAGCAGCATGGCTAGCTACAGCCGATGCATTTCTCATGACAACCATAAAACAGGATGTTGCAGCACTGGAATTTCCAATGGATTCATTCTGAAAATATGGGGATTTTGAACTTGTGTAGAGGAGGATTTGCTGCATCCCTGCTTCAATGGATGAAAGAGGAGAAAACATGACGCGAGGCACAATGTCATGCCTCGTGACAAAATGTATAAAATAGCGAGCCCAATTTTCTCGTCTGAGAGCATGCGAAAAAATTCCGTCTCCAGCAAGGGGGGATCCAAAAGTCACGCAGTAAGGCGGTTTCTGGTAATTGTTAGTCCTTACGTATTTCTCCAAAAACCAGATGGTCGCTAGTGAGGCAATTGGACCACCTGAGGAGTGTCCGGCGAACACTATCTGCTTTCTGTCCGACAATGCTTTTTCCACCTGAACAGTTTTTTTTTTTTTTTTTTTTTACTGGTCAACAAAGGAAATCGAGTCTACTGATATATCCGTGCTAAAAGCAAAGACAGTTAACGGTAGTGAAAGCTAATTGATCTGCCAAAAAGACAGCAGTAGCAAAAAAAAAAAAAAAAGCAAACATAATCTGATGAATTACCTCCCTCTCCAGCTGCGAATTGCATAAAAGTTGTTCAAATCTGGAAGAGAAAGCTTCATTTACTAGAGCTAGCTCATCCATGCCAATACTCTTGAGAGACGGAAATAAGGCAATATTGATCTTGGTTGCCCCAAAAGGCGTTCTACTGTACCAATCAGTCACGGCCCACGTTCCAGGAAAGGCGCAGACTGCTTCTGTTGAGCTGCGCGTCGTCTTTTCCCAGATATACGCCTTCTCAGGCGACTTGAGATGAGCCTTCATGGCTAAATTACAAGCTTTTTTGATCAGCTCTTCCTTAAGTCCGATAGTATCACCCAGCGCCATCTTCTGCTTCTGCTTCTGCTGTGTCTCCTAACTAACTACCAGCGCCACCGCCAAATATATGCCTCTTTATTAGAGTTCACCTTCTTGCTTGACTTGGCATAGAAACTGCCAAGGCTAATTAGAATAGAGAGCAATAGGAAGTTTCGAAGAAGTTGTTCTAATTTGACTAATTATTTTCCGCGAACCAATCGATCTGCCAAGGCTGCTTTTCCTAATTTCCAATACCACTTGAAACGGGACAACAACAACAGCTAACAAGGAAATAGTGGAGAATTGAATTTGCAGCAAGAGGGCGAATTATTGTTGGCTGTTGTGAAAAGACGAAGATGCCCTTGAGTTGTGGGCGGGCCTCACATTTTGTGGACGAGGGTTTTCATTGTCTTTTTAACCCTGGGAAAAAATGACGGCACTATTTTGGTGAGAATTTTTTGTTTCGATTGATGAGGTGACAGTTTTTCCCCCTTCTTCATGTTGAGAATAATAAACATGTGATGGAAAAAATTAAAATTTTCTTGTTGGTGTCTCGAGTTTCAATTTTAATCCCCGTTGGTTTCTCTGCAGATCCACAAACGATCGACTGTTACCGGTTCTCCATTCTCTTCTTTTCCTTCTTCGTTGGTTTTCTGCTCCTCCATTCTCTCCAAATTTTTGATCAGTTATCTCAAGCTCTGTTGCCGGCAATTTTTTTTTATTTTTTTACGGAAATCAAGTTGTTAGGGCGTGGATGGCTTCTCCAACTTCTAGAAGCTTCCAGAAAGAGCTTATGAAGTTACTTCTATGTATGCTTAGATCTGTTGAAAGATCATGATATTAGAATTTCGTAGGTTGCTCTGCCTCGGTGGCTGTACCTTCTTGTGAGCAATTGAAGCTTCATTTCAATGCCTTTGTTCAGAGACGTGGAGATGCTAAATAGCCGGTTCAGGATGCTGCCCGCAGCCTTTCCTCACTTTAATGGAGGTATTGGAGATGCTAACTGAATGTTGTTGAATTCATTTCTTGTTTTATAAATTTAGTGATTTCTGTTGCAATTTGCTTGCCACTTTTGTTCACTTGTCAATCTTGAGTTTTTGCTTGGGGTAGAGGTTCTATGTGACTGGAGCTCCTTTAGTTTTCTGTGCTTGGTTTAGAAATTTAGGTACAAAGGATCCATCGTGTTCTTGTTTGATTTAATCAAGTAGAATGTTCAGGATGAATGCTGGTGCAATGAATTGAAACAATTAGCTTAACACGATTCTTTGAATTACTTGGGTAGCATATTCAGGAGGGTTTTGAATTTCTAATTTTGGAAATCAAGTCAATTAATTTTGTGGTCTGTAGTTTCTTCATGGTCATTTATCATTGTTCATGTTATTGTTGATTGTTTTCTTAATATGACTATCAGAACTTTCTGTGGATCTTCTTTGTGCTAATTTAGGAAGTTTTGGCTGTATGTAAAGTACTTGAAATTGAATAGTCAATTGTATTTGCTTGATTATGGTTGAATCATTGCTGGAAAGTTGGGTGGAATGTCTCTGAGAGTTAAAAGAGAAAGCATGTTGAAGGATTAGTTGTTCCTTTTGTAGTTTGAACAGTTGGTGTTCTGTTCACTTTTTGGATATTGTTTTCCTTTTGTTTTTCTTTTAATTACAAATTACAGTCTTATGGAAAGATAGTGTATGTGAATGTCATGCGGTTTGTGCTTGCCACTTGCGTGCAATGTGGCCTGGCTGGATGCATTCCAGTGGTTGGTTGAGAATGGCGAAAAGCAACTTCAAAGGAAGATCTTTTGTTTGGCTTTAGTCATGGCAGAAGCAAGTACAATAATTATCAAGTGGGTAACTGGATTAGCGTGTATCATCTTGCTGTAGTGCAATCTATTATCTGTGAAGTGCAGAAATACAATAATCTGGGCTGTCTCATACTCGTTCACCAATACCCCTTGTATATACACGTATAAATATACAGCAGTATATAAATAATAAAAAAAAATGCTTCTATTGTATGCAATCTACAGCGAATTTTTGTGTTATTAATTGATTCATCTTGAAGAGAAACACAAGCTAAAATTTGTTGTATCCAATCTGCAGCAATGTTTTATCTAAAAAAAAAAAAAATCTGCAGCAATGTTTTATGTTATTAATTGATTCACCCTAAAGACAAACTAATGCAAACAGCTGATTAACACCAGTCATAACGAGCCAAAAGATAGCCTGGGCAACCTGACACACAAGTGTCAGGCCCCAGTTCAACTAGTCTATTAAGAAAAGAATAATAGGTCTACCCACTAAGTTATGGATAAGGGAATATTGAATAGGTATGTTAATCCTGAAAAGATGTGAATTATCACTCATGCGAGTTGTGCAAGGATTTCTTTTTTCTCTTTATCCTCGTGTTATTCTTGTCCTTCTATAAAGAGAAATATGTGAAACATGAGTGCTTTTATGATGGATTGATTTCTTATTCTTATGTGTTAAATTGTCCTTTGCCATCCCTCTTGTGTGGTATCTAGATTTTGCAGTACTACGGGACATTTATTGTAACGTTATTTGGAGAATCAAGTTTAACCGGAGAAGGGGTCATAGGCTTTTTAAGGGGTCATATGCTTTTTATTAAGGGAAAATTTAAGGAACCTCCCTTGAGATTTCTACAATTTCACTCAGCTCCCTTCAAATTTGAATAATTATACTAATTTCTCTTCATGCAATAAAATGACTGTAATATCCTTCATTTATGTATAATTTCTACAAACCAAAAAGACCTTACAACTTCAACCAATCTTTCATAACAGACTCTTCTCCTCTCTTTCCGACTCTTTTTCCTACCATCTCTCTCCAACTCTCTCTCCTACCTTCTCTTTCCAACCAAAGATATGGATGTGGTCTCTAATATTGCTTTTGGTTGCTCCGTGTTGGTATTCTTGATAGGTTAGATTATGTTAGCATTAGGAAGGTTGCAGCCATTTGGATTGGAGTTTGGATGGTGACATTGGTCAATTGAAATGCTAAATTTGGGCCAAACAAAATTGTGAGAAAATGGGAATTAAGTTGAACTGGTTTGTTGAATTCGTTAGGATGATAGTTACACTGTTTGCAATAGTTACAGCATGAAAGAAATTCATGAGTGAGTTCCCTCCCCCTTCCACCCTAACAAAGGGGTATTTTAGGAATTTTGAGGACAAATTTAGCATATTGGGTATATGTTATTACTGAAATGCTAATAATAGAGGTGATAGGTGTGATTTTTTAAACTAAAGGGGAGCTACTTGCAATAGTTAGAAATCTCAAAGGAGGTTTCTAAAATTATGCCTTTTATTAAACATGTCCTGCAATTTTTTTGTCGTAACTCCTAAGGCTATCCTTGTGAATTATCTGGAGAAAGAAGATAGTCATTTAATTGAATTTTCTCCAAAATCAAAATGCTCCATCTTAATGATCCTTGAACGGGCTACCCTGAAAAAACTCCTCAATTTTCAGTATGTCTACTTTGATTTCTCCTATTCCACATTCTGTGCACTATCAAATTTTGTACATAAACGTCATTAGTCATTACTGAAGATTGTCAGAAATCATCTTCTGATTCACTCGATAACGTCCCAGTCTCCTGTGACACAAAATGTGACTGCAAGTTTTGGAGCTTGACTGGAGTCTTTGGGGATAGTGCTAATGGTGATAAAGGCAGGGATCCTGCACTTGTAATCGCAGTAGGCCATGGTTTCTTCTGAAGTTTCTTCGAAATGTCGATACAAACTCGATCAACCATGGCCAAGAAGTCCTTCACAATGCCAAACAATTGAAATGGATCTGTCCCTTTGTCTATTGAAGCTCCAGCTTGGTAATATTCTGTGGTTCTTTTAACAAGCTGCATCACCCTTGCTTGTTCCTCTCTTACCACCTTAAGCTCCTCCTCGCATTCCTCTAGGAACCCTTTCATTTCCCTCACAAATCCACTTCTTTCGTTACTGCTTCCACAGCGTGAAACTAGCTGCCGGATGTCATGGATCCTCATCGTGAGAGCAGGACACATACCCATGAAATTCTCATATTCTGTGGTGGCTGCTTTCTTTACATTTGAGAGCTCCATACTTAAGCCTTCAACTATTGGTAATCCAAGCATTAGGTACTCTTTATCTACGTCTTCTTTGGTAGTCTTGCTATCCCAACATTCATCACCTTTGCCGCTGATTTCATGATTTCGGGTATTATTGGCACAGCGTTTGCCCTCGGAACGAATCACCTGTTCGACCACAAAATGAAGCAGAGTAGTCTTTCCATCAGTACTCTTCACGTAGGAAAGTTTTTGGAGGGCGCTGAGCTTGAAACCCTGAGCGTTTCCCCTGGCAGTTCCAGCGTTCATTCGGTTGCCAGCCTTTAGAATGGCTTCCAGAAGTTTGAGGAAAATTCCTCGAGTTCTTAACTCTTTACAGCTCAATTCAAGTGTTTGCAGAGACTCCTTGAGATGAAGGATATCAGGATCGTAACTTGACCTGAAAAGCATCGCATTGAGACGGATAAAAGCCGAGGGAATAGATTTGAGGATGTGGTAGAGAAAAGACTCGGCATCTGCAAGCTTTGTGGGGTTCCCGTCGAATTGAAGGATTTTGGCTGCTTCTTCAGGAGTTGGCGAAATCTTGCTTAGCTTTTCAAGATCGTCAGCACTCAGTCCATGACCCTCCTGGAGAGCATCCAGGATTTCTTTCCTAGAGATGGCTAAAGATTTAAGTACAATCGCTGTGTTCTGCGACTTCCTAGGATCAAGGATGAAAACTTGAGCAGGTGGAGCTGGACTAGAAGCCGTGGATGAATTTGAAGAGGAAATACTCCTTTCCTCTGTGGGTTTCTGGTTTTGGGCGGCATATCCAAAGAGAGCTTCCATAAGGTCAAACCTTTGAAATGCAAAAGAGTTAGCAAAGGTGACTCGACATATATCCATCGAGAGCCAAAGAGGAGATCTATGATGGAAATACCGAAATTTTCGACTTGATGATACTAGTAGTTAAATCTCACTGTATATATTTAGTAGTACATGAATGAACTTACCGGAAAGATCCATCGGTGATCTCATGCCAAACCATGGAGTGATCAGTATTTGTAGGCACTTTATCCCAGTACAGTGGCTTCAGTTTGGTCTGACGATAAGAAGCATCACCTTTACCGTGCTTGGGTGGAAGAGGCAGTGATCCAGCTGGTTTCATTTTGGATGGAACTGCTGGTGGTTTTGAAAATCTGTTTGGTGGTTTCGGAACTCCTTTTGCCGGAAGTGGCGGAGGAGGGGAGGTTGAGGCGTGGACGGGTTCAAGGACGCGGTCTTTCTGACGAGCAGAGGTGGTGGTGGAGGGCTTTGCTTCGGGGGAATGACTAGTGGTGGAGGTGGTGGTGTAAAATGTAACAGGCCTGAAGTTTGCTTTGGTGGATGATCCATCAGCGTAACTGCCTGATGATCACCGGGGATGTCAAATGCATCATGATGATAATTGTGATGGTGTGATGATGCCCGTGGAATTTCCGGGACAGGACTACCAATACTATTGCTGCTGGGCTTGAGTTCCCTGCCATCCATTTCCTTTTCCTCTTCTTCATTTATGGGATTGAACCAAACCTTGGAAAAACAACTTGTAAACCTTCCGCCTTGAGCTTTTCTCAAATAAAGAACATCCCTTCCATTCTCATCAACTATTAGTCCTCTAAGAATTCCACCATTTTGCATAAACTCTTCATGTGTCACCGCCACCGACGGCGTCATCTCTCTGCGGAAACTCGAATTGTGCTGCTTGTCCCTCTCACGCTGCCGAGCCACGGTGAATCTGTAGACGAAGTAGAATAAAATTCCTGCAACGAGTAAGGTGCTCGCAGCCGTGGCTGCAACAGCAGTAGCAACTACTCGATTTTGTGACATGGCTGATCAAGTTTTAAAAAAAAAAAAAAAGTCACTCTAGCCAAGGAGGAGGACATGGGAAGACGCATATCATCTTGAGAATTGGAAAGGGATCGTAACAAAAACTCGTGTCTTTCCTGCCGATGAATGTTTATCCTCAAGTGCATATACCTATTTCGTGTTGACAGTTTCAAAGAGGGTAGTTGATTTTTTTAAATTGGCTAGTGTAAGGTCTTCAATGTCTTTGTCCAGTGAATTAACAAAATACTAATTCCTTCTTGTGCGGGAAAGTGTCAGACGGTTGGTGTGAGTTTTTAATCTGGCTTTGTCAACTTAACTTATTCACTTGCCTTTTTCCCTATATATTTTGGTAGGATGACATCTTCAATTTGGTCGCACTTAAGAGCAGAGAACTGCTATCTTGTTCAATTTGCACCTTCTTTGTTTTCGCCGGTGTCGGAACCCACTACTCCCACAGTTGGGCAAATGACAGAGTTTGTCCCTAATCTTTTTAATTTAGACTTTGAGGTCCTCGAAGTGTTTTCTGTGGACTCAAAGTTTTTTAAATATAAAGTTACAGTAATACATAATAATTAAAAAAATATCTCGTTCGTATATTATAACAAATATATAAAAAAAATTTATAGTAAATTTTTTTTTTATATACACTGTTACAATAAAATTTTTTAAAAAACACTCTCAAAGCACAGCTAATCCATCCTTTTTTAATCCTTTGGTAGGATTTTCTAATCTTAACCTCATCGAAATAGGCCTATGTGATGATTGTGTATTTTTTTCAAGTGTATTTTCAAGTCTTACACCTTTTTTATAAACCCATGTGACAGACTCTTCCTTTTTTATGTCTCAGTCATTGCACAACGTTATCCGGCGACTGATCCAGTTTTTTTTTTCAATCCATTTTTATGTCTTATCCTCGCAATTCTCTCTCACTTTCCGTTGTTTCCGATGAGATAATTGAATTATTAAAATATCATTACTTTCATTATCTAATAAAATTAATTATAATAATATTATTATGTATTTTGCAGCCAGTGTCGGCACCAAACTCTGCTGAGTAGATTTCAAAGGATTTTGCTGGCTTAGTGGTAGCATCTTTAGAGGCAAGTAATTAACTCACTTACACTAATAAATATCGTTGCATATTAAAGTAATAGATAATTTTTAGTTTTGTGTAATTATGTTACTTACTTGAATTTTTAAATATGATTATTATGTTAGCTTTGTGGACAAATAAATTTAAACATGATTATTGTATTAGTTTTGTGGATAAATGATTGTGTTACTTAATTAAACTTTTAGTTTTGTGGATAAATTAATAAATAATTTCTGTTTTGTGAATAACCATGATTATGTTATTGTAAGAGTAATAACATCCTGTAGTGTAGTATGATTATTTATAAATTGTGATTTGGTGACAGTGATCCAATTAAATTAGTTGTATAACGGCAATTTTGTACATTGCTATAGAGGAAACGCAATAGTTTTAGGAGTGAAGTATTAATATATTTAAATTAAATGTATTAACAAATTGTTGAAGAATGAAAATAATTTAACATTATCCTGTGCACAATTAGTTATTTCGTGCAATTACAAATGCTAAAAGATGTACCGAAAAATATTTGCTAGGTTAGAAGGAAAATGTCAGCAGACATTATATTGGTGGCTCAATTTTATTGGAAAGGTAAAAATGGACAATTGCTATCTAGTTTATTACTCCGTCCGTCCCACTTTAATAGTCCTGTATTCCTTTTTCATTTGTCCCAAATTGTAGTCCACTTTCTAATTGAAGAATGTAGTTGTATTTTAATTTTTCTAAAATACCCTTATTCAATGTAAGTAGTTGTTACTATAAACCTACTCCATTTAATGAGAGTTGATTCTTTTTTTCATAAAATTGTACCATATTTAATGTGAGGGTATTTTAGAAAAATAGCAATCTAAATTTATTTTTCTAATAAAGTTAATTACTTTTTTTAAACTGTATGAAAAAAGAAACAGAACTATCAAAGTGGGACGGAGGGAATAATAATATTGGTTTCTGTTTTATTTTTTTAAAAAATAACTTTACAGGCCAATGACCCCTTCAGTTGGAGCCCAAAATGGGGAGCTTTGGGCTCCAATTCAGGATGTCAGCCCAATCTTCCCTGAATCAGCTTTGAGCACCCGGTAAGTCCGCACGAGTACAAAGCTATTTGAATCCGTCTAGGGACACAACACCGCCGCGGAGCATTGCCGGAAAATGGAGGAAGAAAAAGCTGCAGCTTTATATGATGAGTTGACCCGTAAGGGAGAAGGAGCCGCTAGGTTCAAACAAGGCCTTGGTTTCTCTCCCACATCACACAGGGAGGCCGTTCCTTCCCGAGGCTCAGGTCTTCCCTCCTTTTCATCATCATCATCATCTTTTCTTAGCACATTCGTTAAAGCCTCGAGCCCTTCGAAAACCGGTGAGCTCGATAAGCAGGCTCAACTTGAATCCATCCAGAACAAGCTCAAAAAAACGCCCCACCAACCCCAAAACCTAATAGCTTCGACCAGGGAGGTTTCAAGAGACAGAGATAGAGACAGTAGCCACTCAAGTTGTCGCAGCTGGAGTGGGGAAAGGGAAAGGCACTCAAGGCGCCGGAGCCGAAGCCCGAGCAGAAATCGCGAAAGGCATTCGAAGCGCCGGAGCAGGAGTGGCAGCCGAGATGATTATCGAATGCGAAGGCGTGGGTATAGAAGTAGAAGTAGGGAGAGGGAGGAGGGGCGTGGGAGGAGTTCAAGGAGTGAGTCGCCGACGCAGAGAAAATCTTCGCAGAATAGTACTACTAGAAAGGTGGAGAAAGAGAGAAACAATGATGGCAGGGTTGATTATGCGGAAACCATTGAAGGTTATGACAAAATGGTATGTATTTGTTAGGATTTCGAAAGATTACTTTCCCAAACTTGTCTGCAAGTGTCTACTCTTCGTACCTGTTTTAATTTCGTTGAAAATTCATCAGTGTTATAGAATGCAGAAACTAAGCATGTCCTAAAGCTTGGTTTGTTAATCTGTTTCGTGATTTTCTTGTTCTTTGGGCTGAAATTTTGCTGCTTTACCTCAAGATATGCCATTCTGTTTTTCTCCTTGGGAGATGGGGTGGGGGAAGGAAGATCGTTTTGGTGCCTATTGCTTGAGGAATTCCCAGTGAATATAAAATGAGTTGTGTTAATGGTCCCTGATAGAGGTTGAAGTAACCATTTAGATGGCGTGTGTATGTGATTTGCCCATTGAATTTGGGGCTTTGCCAATGTACATAGTATAGTGCATCTGCAATTCACCAGGAACTTGTTTGGGATATCTACATGTCTTTCAGTTGATTCCTGAGGTTGTAGCTACGGTCGATTATTCAACTTTAAACATCGAAGAGCTTAAATCTTCTCCCTGAAAATCAACTAAAAAGAGCCATCTTTTCAGTTGCTGCTGGAGAAAAGTAGATGCTGTCTAAAGTGAAGATACTATCTATCCCATAAGAATATATTTTACACAGTATTTTAGTGTCTATATTTTGTTTTCTTTGTTGTAATAAACGATAGCTTTGCTTCAAAAGAGTCTTTGTTGTAATAAATGATAGTTTGATCCATTCTTTGATAATTACCAGCCATAAGCACTAAACAAGCACTTCCTTAACTTTGTTGTATTGGCCATTGTGATGTTGCCTTTTCATGTTAATCTGATTAATGTTACCCTAGTTTGATGAGAGTTTTTTTATTTACTTTAACAGACACCAGCAGAAAAAATCAAAGCCAGGCTGAAATTTCAACTTTCTGAAGCAGGTAAAGGCAGCACACGCTGTAAAATGATGTGACTTTACTTTTTACAAAATTATGGTATATATGTTGTATGTTTCTGCCAAAAGAGGCTTTTGTTCTGGCTTGGGCAAGTTTTCCTTATACGTCTGATGGGTAATATATGTTTTTCATGTAGATGGTTGTTGAAAAATAGTCTGATATGATTATTTTTTTGACAAAGTCATGTGCATTAAGGCTTGTGATGTTACAATTGCCAGAGATACTTTGATTAAGTGAGAGGAAACGTTGAAACTTCTTGCACTGCAAAAATAATGAAGGTAATGGACATATAAAATTGTGTCGCAGGATATTTGAACGGTAGAAAATAGACTGTATGTTTTGGGCATAAAAAGTCAATTAATGAGTTATTTGGATTGCGAATGCTATTTTATGGCTTCTTTGTTCTTGGCGATCTTATGATTGTCCAGGTGCAGAGGTAAACAAATTTCTTCCTGCGTTTGCAAGAAGATTTTTGCCAGATCATGTTGGGTAATGGGTATAATTGGGTCAACCCCTTTATACCTATTTAATAAATGGGTATGGGTATACCCAATTACTCATTTATAAGTCACTTAAATTCTGCTTTTTTTTTTCTAATTTTTTTGCATGTTATTGGACAAGAAATAATGATATTTTATTGTTATTAAATTGGTAAGCAATTCAAATTTGTTTGCTGAACACTCGCTACAATTTGAGTTTAAATGTATAATTATTTTTAAATGGGTGAGTTGAATCAACTTACTACCCACCAATTAAATGGGTTTAATTGGGTACCCATTTAGACCCATCAAAAATTAATGGACAGGTTTGGGTGGGTTATTGGCGGGCGGGTTTGGGCGAGTCAATATAATTGGGTTGTGATTGACACCACTACTTTATAGGGTTTTTGAATTAATAATTTTCCACCTCTTTCCTTTGTTTTTGCTCAAGCTTTTCCTTCAGTTCTTTGGTGAGACTATGCATGAGTCCGTTGCCCAGTCGGTACCGTACAATTTTAAGTGGATTGGCGGCTGCTGGAACATTGACTGACCCTATGGCCAGAAGTGGCTCATTTCTCTCTCTTTGGAGATTTTCTCACTATTTCTCTCAAATTTCTTTCTTCCATGGATAATGTAGTAAAGAGTCTTGTATAAAGCAAATCATGTTTCATAGTTAAGGAGGACGCCAATTGATGACAGTGAACCTTCCACTTTGCATAAGCTTGGTGTCAAAGCCTCTAAAAGGGAGACCAGAAATTGAGATGCCCATCTTGAGGTGCGTTCATGTGTACAATTACTATATGAGGCCGATGGCATATGAGATGATGTTAAGTTCTTGGCATTGACTTTCTTCACCAAGTGATAATGGTGGATTGCAGGTGGCATAGACCTGGCTGTTAGAGTAAAAATTGTTTGGTTATTGATTGACATTTCATCTTGATGGTGCATACTATTCAAAGTTATATATTTATGAACTGGAAAGCTAGTTTTTATGAACATTCCTGCACTTATGTCCTTCCAATCAAGATGTTAATGTGGTATTCTTCTTGCAGCTGAAAAGGATGAAGTAAAGGGTACTGGCTCAGGATGGGAGCGGTTTGACTTTGACAGAGATGCTCCTTTGGATGATGAGGAGATTGAAGGTTAAACTTCTTGCGGCATTGTTTTAAAGTGATTGTGCTTTGTCAAACTTACTACGATATGAAAATTGATGAATTTTGAGATTCAAGTTGTGCATTGTTTCTTTTTATGTTCTATTTTGTGAAGGGAAACAGCATCTATATTAGGCCTCTTCTAAAACATTGTTGACTTGAGAGTGGCCCTTGTGAGATTGCATATGGTTCCCTGTCTTTTATTTTCCTCTCATTTTTGATTGCCTTATAATCATATTTTCAACCATCATTCATTCTATAGTGGTCACCCTTTGCTTTGCTTGTCCTAGCTATAATCCCCAAGTAGTGTAGCCTAGTGGCTGGAATAGAGGACTGCAATGGCACAGCAAAAGCAGAGTTGCAAAACCTTGAAAAGTTGATGGTTATAGAAAAGGCTAAATCTTAAATGAGTGAAAGGTCAAATCAGATTTTGCTACAACTTATTTAGTGACTCGAACAACAATTTAGAGTATATGATGCGATTCTCTTGATCTTTCCTACCTAGTTAATTTAGTTTTCTTTTGTGTGGCAATGGGAATGAGGATTGCTGGTTTTCTTTAGTTCCTAAAGTTAAGATTATGGACACGTGAAAATTTTCATGGCATTCATATAGCTTTTCTTTAAGATAAATCAACGATATGTTAAAGAACCTTAATTATTATATTTTGCACCTGGAAGCTCACTCTGCATTAATTTTTGGCTTATAGCTGTACAGTATACCTGAATGATGCTCATCTGTACAATATGTATTTTGGCTTATAGCTGTACAATAGTTTGTGTGTTATTCCAACTGTTGTGGTACATGATCTACATTCTGCTCATCTAATTAGTTCTAGCTTGTATTTGATCTATGCAGTGAGGTGGTTTATCTCTATGTATGTGAATCATACACAGATCGGTTTTATGTACATATTTTACTCAAAGTTTTCTCCATGCAGCTGTGGAGGATGATGCAGCCCTAGTGAAGCACATTGGTCAAAGCTTTCGGTTTGCAACAGTAGAGGTATGTTCACCTTGCTTTATTTGCATGTTTTGCGCCCATAAAATGGTTCTGTTAGGTCAATAGGGTTTATTGTATTAATGAAACTCAGCCCTTTATTTAAAATTGGAAGTATTACTGATGGTGAATATCTTGAAGGCAAGGAGGGACAAAGAAACAAGAGCTGCTCATGATGAGGCCATATTTGGAGTTTCTTCGCGTCCAGCTGATCCTGAAACAGCTGAACAAGAAGAAGCTGGGATTGTCAAGAAAGTGACACATGAAAGTACCCAAATTACTAACCTCTTAAGTGACCAGGTGAGAGACATTTAAATGTAAATCTTATTGCATTGCACGTATGACTTTCATATGTTTGTGCAAAATATGTTTTCTTAGGTACTTGCAATGCAGCAAGGTTCTTGGCGTCATTGTGTACGTAAAAAATAATATATAAGAAGATGATGACATCTCCATCCGGCAAAGAGAAGTAAATTGGTTGCCCACAGATAGTTTATTGACCATATCTGGGTGTAATTTGCTCATTCTGTAGTAATTTGTTTTCTGGATGGTGTCGTGTATCTTGAGAAGGAGAAGTACTTGTTTCCAACCACGTTTGCCAAAGCCAAGGATCCCTTGTTGTTTCAGCTGAATTGCAGGGATTATATTTCCGAAATTGGTCGGAGTGTAGATTAAGCCTAAAAGGGATTTATTTGTAGTTTGAAAGACAGAAAAAAAGATTACTTTCAAAAGTTTCACAAGTGGCATATTTGTTCCTTTAATTTTTTTTCCCAGATTTGTGATTGCATGTTGTTGGATTGTTCAAATCTGGAGAAGAAAATACAAAAGAAAGGTGAGGTCAACGAAAAGGAGAAAGAAAGAAAAGAAAATAAAAAGAAGGTAATTTAAAGAAGAATAAAATATAAAAAGAGAGAGAGAGAGATAGAGAAAATATAAGGAAGAAGAAGAAAATAAAATAAGTTAAAAAAGGAAAAGGAAAAAATAGCTCATCATGGATAATATTTGATAAGTCTTTAAGTTAACCATTGAAATTAGTCTAGTGGCAAGAAATAGGCTTTTGTGCATATCATCACACAATTAATCTCTCAAATCCCTCTAACAAAATTCAATTTTGTGCTTAAACTATGCACAAGTTTGACTTCTTTATCTATGATTTTTTATTTACTTTGCAATTTATTAATTTTCTAAAGTAAGATTCTTGTTTTCTTAGTGTTAATCTTGTCATATTGATATAATTATGGCTTTTTTTTGTCTTTGCTTTTATTTTAGTTTGCTGTATTATGACCTTATTAGCAAAATGACTATAAGTATGATCATAATATATAATTTACTTATTTATTTATTATGCATCATGTGTTGATAACGGTAGTTCAATGATTGAATTAGTGACCCATGACTCAGTAACTATTTTGATTATATCTAGGTTTTAAAACCTTAATATCCAATCAACTTTTCATCTTCCCTGACCTAAGAATAATCTATTAGGGCTATCAACGAGTTGGAATTGAAAATTTCGAATCTAAACCCGTTTTAATGTACTAGACCCGGACCCGATATACCTGATGGATCTTGTGTTTAAGATTCTGGAACCGAGTCCGCCAGGTCCTGGGTCGAGTTTGGGTCTATTTGAAAAGAAAAAACCCAACATATATCATTCATTTTCTTTTATCCATGTTAACAAAAAAAAGGTCCAACATGATCCTAGGATATTTAACAAAAAGTACTTATATGCAACTTGTAATGAATACATTTTTGGTCAAACAAGTTTGCCTCTTCCAAAACCTAATTTCTTAGATGCTTTATCTGAAATACGAATAATTTGGTAAAAGAATACTTTTGTTAATATAGTAAAAGAATATATTTAGAAATATTTATATTTTATAATTATTAATGTATTATTCGGGTCCGAGTCGGAATCCTATATTCTGTATCCGACTTGTTTTTTATTAGAGTAGATACGTATGGGTCCATATTTGGATACCATAATTATTTCTCAATCCATAGCAGGAAAAAATTAACGGATTCGGCCCGATTTGGATTCAAATTTGACCTCTTGACATCCCTATTATCTATACATAAATAACACTAAACACGAATCAATTTCAAGAAGATAGGATAAAGGGATAATTTCGAAAAGCTTCTTTGAGGTTTTGATAATTTTACTAAACTCTCTTGAGATTTTAAAAATTACACTTACTTCTTTTGTTCATTTTAAATGACAATATTAGTCTTAGCATTTTAATAAAACTTTGTTGTTGAATGTGCATATATGAAATTTATAATTTTTCTTTTTCTTTTTATTCCTATTTTTTATATTTTTTGTCAGTAAAATTATGGAACTATAAACGCTGACCCTAAATGTTAAACTAATGGCTTTTTTTTTTAGAACTTTTAATGTAATTCAATTTTTATTTGTCAATCCTTTTTTTTTTGTTTCAAAAGAAACACTAACTCAAAAAAAAAAAAAAGCCTAAAACTACTATCAAACTATGATAATTTCATTAATCCAAAAATCCACAGAGCTTCTTCTCTAATTTAGAAAAGACATGTATCCGTGATAAAGCACCATTAGACAATTGCTTATCAAACAATAAATTTGATATTGAAAACGCGACAATATTTTTTATATTTGTGCTAAGTATGTTATTATTGCTATAGAAGGTAAATGAACTTTATAAGGTGAGGCTAATTTCGGGATATTGGATTAAATTTTTGACCTACTCTAAGGTTTGGTAATCAAAAGTCTCAAATTAGGGGAGGTAAATATAATTTTTGAAACCTCAAAAGAGCTCAGTGAAATTGTTAGATATCTTAGGGGAGGTTTATGAAATTATCCCTGGGATAAAAGCAGAGCACTTGGGGAAAAGGCAGGTCAAACCTCAGCTTCATCTCTCTCCTCTTGTTCCTAGATTGGTTGAAATCTTTATCGTGGTCTTCAGCTCAATAATGGCTTCTTCCTCCGTGAATCGCTGGCTAAGGCCTGAGGTCTCTCGCACTTATTATTATTATTTTTTTGTTGCTCAGCTCCACTATGTTTCCAAAGTAGTCGAGGAATAACCATGTCTATTATTATGTTGATCTCTGGATTATTCTCCTATTTATGGACTGTAGTTTGATTTTTGGTGTGCTCATATAACATAGGTATATCCATTATTTGCGGCAGTTGGGTTGCCATAGGGATCTGCGGGTTTTCGTTGGTCCGGAATATTTGCATCAACCCTGAAGTGAGGTACTGTACATATAGTTCTACGGTCTTTTTTCTTTTTTTTTTTTTAAATTTTTTAAAAAAAATTTATCTTTAGTTTTTCGTTTGTCTAAGCATAACAGTGTTGATGTCTAAAGCAGGTGCATGACTGAGCTCACACACACACACAGACACAGAGAGAGAGAGATATGTTTTGTAAAATTGAGGGTGTAAATTAGAAATTTTCATTTCAACAAGGGGTAAATGCTCTCCTTGCAGAGAATACAGACTGTGTTGATGTCTAAAGCAGGTTCATGACTTAGCTTCTGATGAACAAAACGTAAAGTGGTGTCTTGTTTACCATTTTTTTTTTGACACTATTTAGAGCTAAATCCATTCTGTTTCTCTCTGGTTCAGTGTATCTCTCTACATTTTAAGTTGCTTTGCTTAAATGGCCTAAATAAACTTAAAACTATGATGAACGAGGTCAATAGTGATAGACAACTCCAAACCACAAAGCAGGTTAGTTCTCTACTCAAGTCTACTAGACAATTCATAGTTAACAACATTCATAAAATCATCGATAGTTATTAGGAATTTACCTTATCGTTATTAGTACAGAAATTTGAGACTATATGATATAAGAGTGGAAGAACGTAGCGAATCGAATAAACAAAGTAGAGAAATTTTTCAGGCAGATACGGTTATGCTAGACAAGGAATGGGAAAACAAGCTGATACACGTTTAGGGAATGCATTAAGATGATAGGCCGGGGTTAACTAGTCTCAGGGCACCTCCAAATACTCTTAGGAACCTTTTAGGCCAAGATGTACAAGGAGTCTCACTCAGTCCCCAGATTAGTCTTGATTTATGTAACGGGGCTTTGGCCCTCCAATGTACTGGGAAAAAAAAAGAGAAAGTAGAGAAAGTTTCAAGTGAATGCATAGACGGGTAATTTTGTCTATTAAAATATCTTATAGGTTTTTTGTGTCAATTTAGCAAAAAGGAATGATGGAGTGCCTGAAACTCATTCTGGAGTACCACTCTCGTTTGTGTGTCAAAAAAAGAGAGGGAAGATATGGGAATCTAATGTTGTTACTCTTTACCTATTTATCATCTCTCGAGCTCCCTTGATATCACGAAATCACCACTGCACTATAGGAAGAGACTTTTCTTCGTCGAATGAATGATCGCAAGATATGTCAACCCAACACATTATATTCCAATATCTAATTTGTACATTAAAATTAAGCGTACAAATTTAGCCTGCTAGGATTTCGGCTCCGTTCGGAATAACTGTTTTGGGGGTGTTTTTGAAATATTTTACTGTATTGGTATATATGAAAATTTTTTACTGTAGATGTTTTTTGTGATGTTTTTGGAGGGATTTTTGAATTATATTTTGGGATACCTTTGAAGATTAAAATATTTCTAGAATACTTTTTACAATTAATACTACCACCCACAATCGTCACCGTCACCACCCCACTTACCGCCGCTTCCACCCTCTCTCTTCTCTTTTCTCCTTTTCCTCACTCTTCCTCCACCTTCTCCTCCCTTGTCCCCATCCCTTTTCCTCCTCCCCTCCCCTTCCCACCCCATCCCCTGACTCTCCCCTCCCCCTCTCGATCTAGTCGCGACCAGATTGCGGGAGGAAAGGGAAGGGAGGGTTGGGAGGTGGGAAGGAAGAGGAAGGGAGGAGACAGGGGGAAGGGGAGGAGGAAGACGGAGGATAGTAAAATATGAGCGCTTACTTGATGGGCGTTTGCATGTGATAGTAAAATATGTCTCGTCTAGACTACGAGCGTGAAGACAAAAAAAGAAAAAAGAAAAAGAGAGACTACATCGTACTTGTATATGAATATGACATCGGTAAAGAAAAATATTCTTGTTCAGGGTAGCCAAGCAAGATAGGGCAGCTGGAGTGCTGGAGAACTTCGCCGAGGGAGAAAAATATGCCGAGCACGCTCTGAGAAAATACGTCCGCAATAGGAAACCAGAAATCATGCCATCCATCAACAGCTTTTTCACCGAACCTGAAAAGAACTAGTTGCCTCTAGTATGAAACTTAAAAACAGTTATGGGATGTAACAATTATTTTCATCTAACGTGTTGTTATTGCCTCCGACATGAGACTTGAAACAGCTGTGGAAAGCAATCTGTTTGAGAGTGTATTAATAGCATACTGCTTTGTGTATGGTGGAGTATTTTGTAACGACGTAACCACTGTTTGGATTTGCCTTTTTATTCAAAAGTA